CTTCAGTTATTCAAAAAATACTGGAACATACTATATTTTGAAACAAACAGTATATTATTGATAAGATAATCTTGATTGAACTATCGACATTGACATCCAAACGGCGAGACATTGTTGAATGACGTGCAAAAATTGGGTCTACGACAATTGGTCGAGCGAAAATTGGTCGCCACGGCAATTGGTCGTTACGACAATTAGTTGAATAACAAATTGGTCGTCTACAAAGAGTGAGCAAGAGAATAATTTATTAAATAACAAGAAAATTATACATGTATAATAACAACAGTCATAACAGAAATTAGAATACAATAGAGTTAAATTCAATTACAAATTTCTTGTTAGTCCTTCTAATTGTGTAAGAAGAGTTGGATGTGGAGATAGTAACAAGTTCTTTAAACGTTGACTATAATCTAAATATTTTTTATTTCGAAATGATTTATCTCCAGCATCCAATTTAACAATTTGACAACGAATATAATTTTCTTCTTTCTGAAGACTTTGAATAAAAATCCATAGAGATGGATGCTCACATTGTATTACAAAGTTGAGCCTTCTGTGCCAAGCTTCTGCTTGATTATTAGTACGCATTAAATCATTGATTGTTCTGTAATGCATATTCCATAAGCCAATCGGAAATCTCGGTGTTGCACGTCCATTTGGTCGACGTCTTCCAATGTACGAATCTTCAAAATAATCCATTACAGGCTCTAAGATTGGAGGTAAAGATAGATAGAGATCGTCGAATGCTTGTGCAACATCAGATGGTTGAAGAAATGCTAATGCAGAAATTTTGTGAACATTATATGCAAATTCTGAATCATTTTCATAATTATTTTTCAATCCCAGATCCTACGATACGTCGAAAATATTATATGACCTTCATGCAAAAGTTACGTACTTGTAATTTGCGCAATATACTTTTTTGAAGATGAAAAAAGCAAGCTGACATTCCAACTGAATTTGTAGCTGTACCAAATGATGATTGAAAAGCATTAATTGCCGCCTTTTCGAAATCAACCATTATTAATTTGGGATTCCATGAAGGACACAAATTTTTTAATTCATTAATTAATCGTTGATACGTTTGTTGTTGTTTATCAGCAAGTACAGCAAAAACTAATGGAAATATATTATTTCGATAGACACCATGTATGGTGTATAATTGAGTGAAAATAGTTGGTGTTATCTAAGATGAAAATCCAATGTATAATTATGTCTTCTCTAGAACAATTGAGAATTAAAAAAATACGCACTTTAAATGTACCATCAATTAGAATTTCTTCAGCACCTTCTAATATTCTTAATTGATTAATAGATGCGAATATAAGTAAACGATTATTACCGGGTCCAGAATCAAATTGTAAGAATTTTTCATTTTTAAATGTTGTTGTTAAAGATGGTGGAATTATATTAAAATTTTTATCTAATGGAAGTTTAGGTAAATCATTTTGTTGTCGTTGTTGTTGAATATTTCTTTTAATGTTTTTGAAATTTGGAAGACGTGCTATCATTTGATCCGATGCATTTCTTAAGCAATTGTCGATAATATTTTGAGTACTTTCGTTTGTATTCATAGCACGAGAACGCACTTCATCTTGAAATAATCTAACTTCAGTATTTGCAGCATTTGCAGGATGATTATGATCACTATTTTCGTGCAAAATATTAGTGAAATTAACATCAGTGTGTATTCTTCCTTTACATTTAATAGTTCGACAATATTCGCATTTCCAATAAGTTTTTTTTTCTGAAGTTCGATCAATCGTATAATTAAAACCGTTATGTATCAATAACGGTTTGTTTTTTTCGGTTGTAGCAATTTTGAAACTTGACATGATTTGAATAAAGTGAGAAATGATTTTTTTTCTTTTTTAGAAATATTCTGATAAAGTTAATTAATCCCATTAGTTATTTACTTCATATTTCATACTTTTTTTAATCAGATCTGATAATTTCTGTATCTTTCTCTTTTTCATGTGTTTCAAAACTAATTAGTCTTTAATTACATGTTACTCTGTTTCGTCAGATTAATCAGATTACAAGAGATATAATTATTAAATCATCTCTTCGCTTATAATAAGCTTACGACCAATTTGTTATTCGACTAATTGTCGTTCGACCAATTTTCGCTCGACCAATTGTCGCGTTCCCTTTTATTGTTCGACATATCAAAGACTGATTGAGCGCGGACAACATCACCACATTGTACTTTAACCAAAAGAAGATAGAAGAAAAACATTAGTATTGAAACTTACTGTATAGATGAATTAATGATGTTGATATGTAACAATCAGTTTTTATACGAGAGGAAATAAGACGATGAATAATCATTCCACGTTGAAGATCACGCACTTGTGCACATGCTTTTAAAGCTTGAGTAATTATGAAACTGGATAAATTTTTAATATCATTTTCTTTGTATTTATCAAATAATTCCAATGTTTTTTTAAACTGTTTCTTGTCATTGAATAATTTTATTTTAGTACCGACATCACCATCAGATTGATGAACAACAAAACGTTTTATAGCAATTAATCGAGATGTTGAACGATAATATAACAATGTATTAAACATTATTGTTTAATTTATTTTTTCGGTTTCGTGTACTAGAAGTAAATGAAAATAGAAAAGTGAAGAAAATCGATCAAAATATTCAAAATTTCTTCTTTAATAATTCCATTCGGCGACAATGTGCAACCAACAATCGAAGAGCATAGGGTCAGAAAAATAAACGTGACAAAAATGTAATAAATAATAATAGATGTTTATTTATTTTTTATTTTGGCAAGAACGGATTTTCATCTAGATGAGGGCTCTACAGTACATTCATAGTAAAAGAATATGTTTAACAAATTTCGGTTGAATAAAGTAGAAACGAAAGATGTCGCTCAGTTAATTATATTGTTTTTACTGTAAGATCGTCGTTTTAGTTTGTCAGAACACGTTTATATGATCTGTGAATCTAGTCTAATCTAACTGAGCTGATCAATACACGAAATCCGAGCCACACTGCATCGTACACAATAGACATATAAAATGAAACACTAGACTATATCCAAATCTGACGTGAACAACAATGAGTGACACATCTTCTGCACTAACAAGCAAGTCATTTTACTCAAACTAAAAAGAACTCTACGTAAAAATATATTGAAATTGCCGATAAGTCGCATACTTTAACGAATTCTTCCTTTATTGGGATTGGAATCTCATAGTAGATTTTGAATCTGAACATTGCAGCATGACAACTGTTCATATGAGACATGTGAGACATCATTTGATCCAGAATTAAATTCTTTACCAAATTCACAAGCGATTCTCTCTTGACAATGAGTTTCACTAAGAAAAAAATCGTTTCATGAATAGGGGGATACAGTGTCAGGTAGAATACTTCAGCTTTGGTTCGAGAATTAGATGTGTTTGTCGGCAAATTATGCATTTATTTCGTTTTGTTGGTAATGGAATTGTTTGGATTCCGTCAAAAATACTCTATTGTATTTAGGACTAGGATGAGGAAAAAATTTTATCTCACGTTTACCCGAATATCATTGTCGTTGTTTTTGAAGTCGATTCGAGTGGAACGAGAATGCTGAGAAAGGAGTGGAAGATTGCACTAATATTCAAAAAAAAAGCGTTGGCAAGGTGGTATCTTTTGTTGAATTATTATTTGGATGAAAGTTTATCTGTCCGAAGGATTCTAAACGCTTAGCATTTATTTGTGGAATTGATGAATTTGCATCTATTTGTTATGCTGTTATGATGATCTCATGTTTAGAAAGAAATAGTGATTTTTTGGCAATATGTTGTGCATATGTGCAGTAATTTCATTTTGTTTTAATAATAGGTTTTTTCGTCTATCTAAGATAGCTAATTGTACAGATCTCTTATGAATGTTTTATTTTTTTTTGAGTCCTTCGTTTTCCTTTTGCATTTTGACTCGAAGGAGCTTTACTAATATGGTGAAAATTATTAGCAGCACTAAAGATAATGTAGAGTGAATATAGCTGCCTAAATTGTCAAGAAGTCTTGGAAGTGTTGTTTTCTGTTTGATGTCGGAACATTTTATATAAGTTTCGCATGATTGGAGATAAAGACCAGCTCCTATAATAGATATTTCGTCAGTTGTTTTAAAGACAACGTTACATCAGTAAGGTTTATCCGTACTATAAAATAGTCATATACGCTGGCTGATCTTCAGCATATTTGGTGAAATTTTCTGCGTTCATATTACTTCACAAGCATTAGTGATAGATACATCTTCTGGCAAAAGTTCCTGTAAACATGGTAGTGTGGACAACGAAATGAAGATAGGATCCTCGTTGTATTGAACAACAGACAAAAATTTACACGTCTTTCTATCTTGCGTTTCTCTCCAGACTGTAATGGTTTTGGGTGTGGGTTGGTGTGAGTGAGATGAAGACCCACACGCACCTACACCCACACTCTTTCTATTTTAATGTTCTTTTTATTTTGTTTTGAAAAGAAAATTTTCCATCGGTAGATGGAGTTGACCATCGTGAATAAATATAATGAATTAGTATTGTAAGACATATTAGTCCAATAGTATTGAAGAACAGGTGTCACAAAATGGAACTTTAAAAAAAAAGACTACAAGATAAATGTTGAATTTATGTTTATTTTCGGATGGCAAATATTCCAAAAGTTTTATCAATTTATGAAAAAACTAAAAACAATGAATGGAATAGTTAAACTACCGAATGTGGAAAAGACTTTTGAATCACTTCATTTATTACAAGTATAGTTGGAATTACATTTATTTAATAAAAAAAATATCATTTCTTATCTTTATTAAGAGTCAATTTGCTGAAGGTGAAATTTATCCTTCAGATTTTAATGAAGATACATGTGATTTACGTATTACACATATAGATTATTTTTCTCGAACATCTTTTCAATAGGTGATGCATTTAAAACTGCTGCTCAATATGCAATAGCAATGGATGATAGACCAAGTTTTGAACGAGTTCTTGTACAATTGAAACCATTTTACTTTAATCTTGAGTAGATATTTAAGAAAAAAAAAATCTTTTATTTAATATCTTATTTTTCTATATTAAAAAAGATTCTCTACCGAAATAGATCATGTCGCAAACATCAGAATAATCAATTTGAGTAACTAAACAGAATTAAAACCTATTAGCGCAATCCATGCGAGATTAAAATGTGAAATACGATGTACCTACTACAGTTAATCACATAGATATTATTTTTCTTTGACTATCCTTTTACTTAACCGAGATGGAATCAGTTCGGGTTTTTTTGTTTTTGGAACCGATCCTATCTACGTTACTTAATACTCTAGAAACGTAAATAAGCAAGTAGTTACTTTATTATAACAAGATGTTGTTGATACGCAATCTATGATCGTATATCAACAACGCCTGTCATTAGAAGGTAACTATAATAAAGTAAAGGAATCTTTAAGTATTCCTTGCTAAAGGAAATGTTCCATGATCGTATTTTATATTCTTTATGAATATTCTTCTCAATACAATTCGTTATTATTTCGTACTTTTCATCATTTATCTTAAACTAATTATTGAAAGAAATTTTTATTTGATGAAATTGTATATTGTATGAAAAAATCGTTTAATATTAAAACTTTCTTTTATTTCTTTTTTTAATTTTTAGATAAATTTAAACAAAGAAAAAACAAATGTTTAATTTAAACTTTTCAGCTAAAATTAAAGAAGCTGAAGAACATATAAGACAAGGTGAAAAATATATGAAAACATCATTTCTTAAACGGAAACCAGATTTAGATTCAGCTATTGATGAATTTGATAAAGCATGTACTTGTTATCGTGTAGCTGAAAGATATGACCAATGTCGAGATTTATCATTACGATTAGCTGAATTACAAATACAAAAAGGTAATTTCTTACTTATTAACATAACAAAATAGAACTACTAGGCTAAGTCAAATTTTTTCGTATTAGTCTGGCTTACTCCTATCGAGAAAAACATTTTCTGAGTCTTTCCTTCTGATGGTAACGTTCGTTTTACTAAAAGTGTTGGATAATGTCTTAATTTTTTTTTTCGAATTCTGTTTCATTTTCAAAATATCACGTATCGAATATTTTCGGAATTGTTCCACAGAGCTCTAGTCTATAAATATAATAGAATATACAAAAAGTAGTGGCGATAGAATAAGAAAGAAATATAAAAACAAGTTCATCAAGTCTTTATCTCGTTAAATATTCGAAATAATGATTGTGATTATTGACATTCAATTGTATTCGTTCCGTCTGTTTATCGAATGTTTTGATTGCTTAGGTTTTTTTTGATGAAGTCAGATTGAACTTGTTTCGATATTTATTTTTTTGTTCTACAGACACCATTTTTTTGTACGCTAAAATGTAATCTAATATTACTGTCACATATCATAACAAACAGTAGCTTATCGAAATTTTATTATTATGATATTAGTTGAAGTTTCTGAAAAACAAACGGATGCGATAGTTTTCAAAGCTCCGAAGATTTTATCGCAACTATTTCAAAGAGTATAAAATGAGGGATTGGTGAATTATCTAAAAAAAACGCCTTTTTTCGGTTTTTGTAATACTTTTAGCTTTTTAAGGGAAAATCTTAGGAAATTCAGCAACCCATCATTTTTTATGAGATACTAAGAATAAAAAAATTAATAAAACACAACAGTAATGACTGGCCTTAAATCTGTACCCGTACCAGTTTCATCTCTGTATCCAGATTTAAGCTAATTGTTTAAGATTATAGAAAAATAATCAAAAATACGTTGTTATTAAACTTTTTCTAACCACCTTAGAGAGAAAGTTTTTTAAAACTTTTTCTAAGAAAGTAGAGTACCTTCGCTACTATTTTTGTTATGCTGTAAGTATTTTATTAAAAACCTATATAATGATTATCGATTTTAGGAACTCCATTTTTTTGCGGGTAAATCTTATGAACAAGCAGCACAAATGACACTACAATTACAAGATTTGCCAACAGCAGCTAAATATTACGATCGAGCAGGACAGTTATATGCTGAAGGAGGTAAAAATTAAGATGATATCAAAAGAAAATAATTGATTTAACATTGGTATTTTTGTTTTTCTTTTCTCAAGGTTATCGTGATTCTGGTGCAATTCTTTATGAACGTTGTGCACCACAATTTCAACAAATAGATCGTTCTATTTCAATTGATTTTTATCTTAAAGCAGCACGTTTAGCTGAACAAGAAGAAAAATCTTATCAAGCAGCTGATTTATATGAAAAAGCTGCTATGCAAGCAATACGTATGGGTAATTTTCCACAGACAACTGAATTACTTGAAACAACAACAAATATTCTTACAAAATTAGAACGATATGATCGAATTAATCGTGTTATACTATATAGAATATTACTTAAATTATTTAATGAAGATAGTGTTGCTGGTCGAAATATTTTTGATCAAGCTTGTCAAAATTATCCATCATTTGATCAATGGGAAGAACGAAATCATATTGAATTATTACTTGATGCATTTGATCAAGATGATAAAGATTTAATTAGTCAACGTTGTCAAGTAATTTACTTTTGTTTTTGTTTTTTTATTTAATTATATATTTTATATTGTCTTCTAGAGTCCTTATTTCATGGCAATTGAACCTGAATTTGTTCGTTTAATTAAACGATGGATTCGTCCAACAACAAATAATGTAAATCAACAACAAACAACTAAATCTACGACTTCATCAACTAGTGGAACTAAACCAATACAATTAGATGATGATGATGATGATTTACGTTAATTGATAGTTTCCATATTTTCTTCACTGTATTTACATTATAATTCTGTTTTGTTTTTTGAAAAACTATTTCTATCTACTATTGCTGCATTTTTATGATGAATAATTGATGCTTAACATTTCAATCTTTATTTTAATTATATAAACGTAATGAAATTTGTTAAAACAAGGATTTTTTTTAGCAAGATATTAGTAAAATACGCTCTAGGTTAATGGTACCAGTCAGTTCAAAATATATAGCAGAGCTACATTCTGTTTTCTTTTTCAAACATTTATTTTGTTGAGAATTCTTCTAGAATGGTTCAGAGTTCGATTCAGTAGACTCAAAATTTCAAGCACTATCGGTTAGTATATGTTCCAATTAAAGTGGCGCTCAGAGAGGATCAGAGCATACTTTATCAATAGTTCATCCCGATTGATTTTCTACATGTTTTTTTTTATTAGATATGTATATATATGGTTTGTTAGAATTCGATAAGCTCTACAAGAATATGAATATTGAAAAAAGTTCTGATCCTCTTTCTAAAATAGAAAATTGAAGGAGAATCAGAAAGTCTATTAAAAATTTGTTATTTCTTATATTGTAGAGGGATATATTGACTTTACAGATTTGAATACTACAAAACTACTTTTGTTTTTTGCAAAATGCTTAGTGATGTATCATAATATGATCATGACTTCAATATAATTCGAGCCACTGTATATTTCGATGCCGTTTTTAAAATTAGAAATATTTCATCAAGGATAGATACATGAATGTGAGTCTTCTCTTTATCCAAATCTTTTTCACAATTTTTTCATCACTACTTATTTAATACTAGTTTATTAGATTATGTAACTATGTTATATAAGTGAAGCAAATTATTGTTTTTAATAAGAAATATCAAACCAGTTTACATTCCATAGATATTTTTGAGAATAATTAAACATATCAATATTACTCCAGCTACTCGACGGAAGAGCATAGATCGTAAATGAATTGTATGTAGGGACATAAATAGCAGTATAACCATCTAACGACCAGTGTGAACTAGTACCAGCCATACTAGTGAAATAGAGCGGAGTTGAAGTAAAACTACAACTAGTCGTATTAATGTTCATCGTTAATCCGCTACTACCGAATATTTGCTACAGTTGTACTACTAGTTTGTGTCACTGTAGTTGTAGCTAAATAAAAACAAGAAAACATATTATTAGTAATCGACAACTGAGTGATTGATAAGACTTTTGTATATAGAAGATCTAGAAAATTTGTTTGTTTTGTTAGATTTTTCTAACTTACATTTATAGTCCTATGTATTATTATTATTATTTCCCATTAATCCCTTTAGAGTATCGATGTGGAATACAAAACTCACCCTCACTTACACCTAGACACTAAAAGAAGTAAAGATACGAAAGGGAATAAAATTTATGAAAGTCACAAATTTAATTTTTCATGGTCCCATCAAACAGATATACTATTTCATCCTTTTATATTAGAATTAACGTCATTTTTTCAAGAAAAACTGTCGAATGTATTCAAAGTATTTAATATTTTCTGTTTGATGAATACATTGTGCTGTCAAATTTGATCGAGAGAAAGATACTTACTCGTTACGGTTATTGTCGAAACAATGGTTGTGGATGTGCTTGTGTAAGCTAAAACAGATAAATAAACATTATCAAATATGAATATCGTTTGCATGAAGAGAACTATCTTGCTGATTAATTATTCTCTTCTTTATTCTGTTGAGAAATCAATCATAATAAGTGTTTAACATGAAAGACATATAGTTATACATAAATCATGAATAGAAAGAAATTGTGACAAATGGTTAATTTGTTGAAAATTCTTAGTTTTAACGGTGTGTTCATTATAGAGCCGAAGTAAATGAGATTGAACTCACAAGATGATATTGTTATCCATATGAATTGATGGGTAAAAGAAGCTGTCAGCTGTACAAAGATTCAGAAAAAAAACTACCAAGAACATTCATCTGTAAATTTCGTCTTTTACAAGAATAAAATAACTTGAAAATATTGTTTGTGTCTACACTTACATTGTTGTTTAATATATAATGTAAGGATAGAAGTTAGTGGGATGCCACCAACTAATATTCCTGTAACTGTGAACACCAAACACAAATCATATTTTCTGTTTCTTTCTCAATGAATTTAGATAAAATCAATATAGTATTGATTGTTGGCGAATGTATTAATTAGATGTCAAAGTTCGTTTTTAATTTTACATAAATGAGATTGATGACAATAGATTTTGTGTCTCTACGAAAATGTTATTTCAAAACATAAATCAGACAGAGAATATTAGATGGCTTCTATCTTTGATTTTATTTAACGAATTCTTATTCAAAGACTTTACAATAAGCTTTATTCTTTTTCATCAAAAAAAAAACTTTCATCAATATGAAGTACAATCATAGAAAACACGTTTTTTTTTTAATAATAAAATCAAACATTTTTTTCGTAGAAGCTATTTAAGACACCATATATCCAAGCCATGGAGAACATCGATATGGAACTAGCATGATGACCAATCGTATCTGAGATATGAACCAATTAATAGAAAAAATAGAATAAAATTTCAATCGTAATTCACTAAATACAGAATTATTTCTTAATTGCTCAAACAAATACATCTCAAAGGCAACTTCAACTGACATACTTTGTTACTAAATCATAGTTTTAGAAGCTCCACAAGTTACGTAGTGTAACAAGCTTTTACACAAATTTAGAAAACACTATTTCGACTAACTTTACTATTTCAAAAATTATAAGAATTTATTTGTTTTTCCAAAAAATATTGTAAGACACAAAAACGCTTAGTGATGTGTAGTAACACAATTCGAATCATTTTTTTCAGATAATAGGCATAATCATTTTCTAGGAAATTGTATATTTTAATGAACTATTTGTATATGTATGCCATATAGCTAATATTAATTTAAAGAGAGAGAATCGAATTTTTCAATTATCTTTTACTTTCTCTTATTTATACTAGTTTATTAGGTTATGTAACTATGTTATATAAGTAAAGCAAATTATTGTTTATAATTGTTTTTAATAAGAAATACCAAACCAATTTACATTCCATATGTATGTTTGAGAATAACTAAGCATTTCTGTACTATTCATTGTATTCAACGAACGAGTATAAATTCTAAATGAAGTATTTGTAGGACTATAAATAGCAGTGTAACCCGCTAAATCCCAATGTGAACTAGTTCCAGCCATACTAGTAAAATAGAGTGGAGTTGAATTAAAACGACAACTGGTCGTATCAATGTCCATAAATAATCCATTGGGAGAATATAATTGCCATAGTGTAAAAGATGAGATGCCATTGCAATAATATGCTGAATTAGTTGCTACTGTTGTAATCGTTGTAGTCACTGTAGTTGTAGCTAAATAAAATCAAGAACATATATTATTAGTAAGCGAAAATTGAATTATTGGTGAAACCTCTGTATATAGAAGTTCTAAAAAACTTATTTGTTTCATTAGATTTTTCTTCAAAGAAAATAATATAGAAAATATGGATTTTTTGTCAAAATTAATGGAAATTGTTTCAAAGTAACTCTCTTACAGCTATCTCTAACAAATTCATTTCAGTCTTATATCATTTGATCTCGTATAGAACTTTTCTCAAAAATCGATCTTGATCGAGAAAACATTCATTATCGTTACGAAATTCTGTTATGAAAATTAGCAATGATGTGATAGTTTTAGTCTAATATGTAAACTTTTCATGTGAGAAACAACAACTGACAAATGTATTTAAAATATTTTGTTTTTTGTTTTTTTTTGTATGAAGATATTATTATTACTTGAAAGCAAGATACTTACTGATTGCAGTTGTGGTTGTTGTCGAAGTAGTTGTTGTAGATTTACTTGTGTAGACTAAAAGAGATTGATAAAGGAAGCTGTCAGCTATACAAAGATTCGGAAAAAAAATTTTCAAGAACATTCAACAGTAAATTTCGTCTTTTATAAAAATAAAATAATTTGAAAATATTGTGTGAAAACTACAACTATGATTATCTGTTTTTATTTTTGTACACTTACATCGTCGTACCATATATAACGTGAAGACAGTAGATAGTGCAATACTACCTATCAGTATGCCTATAAGTCCCAACGCTAAACACAAATCAAATTGTAGTGATTGGTGCGTCATGTTTTCTGTTTATTTCTCCATGATGTATCGTTTTTTAGTTGATATACATCTATGGCAGAAAAGAGAGTTGATTCAATCTTTTTCTTTTTTTATCATGGTATGACTACTACTTATGATGAAATCAATACATTGTTCATTATTGACGGATGTTCTATTAGATGTCAAAGTTTATTTTTAATTTTACATATTTGAGATTGATAACAATAGTTTTTATGTCACTATGAAAATATTATTTCATAAAACAAATCAAACAAGGAATATTAGATGGCTTCTGTTTTTTAATTTTATTTAATGTATTCCTATTGACAGATCTTACAATAAACGTAATTCTTTTTCGTTCAAATAAAACTTTCATCAATATGAAGTACAATCATAGAAAACATTTTTTACGCTGAACAGGAAACGTCGATGTGAAGCTAGCACGACGATCGAGGTGTGGATGGGTGAAGAGAAGACCTATTGATATACAGTCTATGATCGTATATCAACAACGTCTGTCATAATTATGACTAAAACAAGTGATTTCTATTGCTTTCATTATATTATTGATAGTGTATTTTTCTTTTATGAAATTTTAATATATTAAAATTGATTACTTTGAATAACATGTGTAATGGTATTTATTAGCACAGTTTATCTAAGAAATATGTTTACATTATAGATAAACACGAAGTTTTTAGTATCAATTTTAAAATTCAAAAATCTTTCATCAACTTTATTATGTTGTATAAGTCAAACAAATTATGATGTACACAATTGTTTTTAATGAGAAATACCAAACCAATTCACATTCCATTGGTATATTTGAGAATAACTAAGCATATCTGTACTATTCCAACCATTTAACGAACGAACATAAATTCTAAATGAAATATTTGTAGGACTATAAATAGCAGTGTAACTTGATAATGATAAATGATTGTTACTGCCAGTCATACTAGTGAAATAGACTGGTGTTGAAATAAAATTACAACTAGTCGTATTAATGTTCATGAACATTCCATTTGATGAATATAGTTGCCAGAGTGTAAATGATGAGAAGCCTCCGCAATAATTTACTTGATTAGTTGCTACTGTTGTAGTCGTAGCTAAACAAGAAAATATATTATTGATAACCGATAACTACATGATTGGTGAAACGTTTGTATATAGAAGATATAGAAAATTTATTCGTTTTGTTATATGCCGAACAAAAGTCTTGAAAACAAGGCCAAGCATTGTTCAAATTTTTCACAATTCTCAAAATCGGAATTCATGACGAAAATTACCTTTTAGAATGGTGCTACTTGAAATTTAAACCAAAAGCAAAATACTCACTGATTGTGGTTGTGGTTGTTGTCAAAGTACTTGTTGTGGATTCGTTTATGTAGGCTAAAAGAGATAGATGAATATTATGAAATATCGATTTCATTTGCATGTAGAAAACGCAATGTCTTGATTGTTGATCATTCTCTTCTTTCTCTTTATTCATATGAATCGATGTATAAAAGATCCTGTTAGCTGTACAAAGATTCAGAAAAAAAAAATCTTCAAGAATATTCATCTGTAAATTTTATCTTGTACAAGAATAAAATAGTTTGAGAATATTGTGTTAAGACTACAATTATGATTATCCATTTTTTTCCACTTACATTGTTGTTTTATATATAATGTAAGAATAGAAATTAATGGGATACTACCTAGTAGTATGCCTATAAGTCCTAATGCCAAACACAAATCAAATTGTAGTGATTGACCCTTCATTTTTTCTATTTCTCTTTCAATGTGATGAATTGCTTTTATGGTTCAACTGAAGTTGTTGCAAAACAGTGAATTGATTTGATTTTTATTTGTGTTATATGAATACTACTTATGATAAAATCAATACATTATTGATTGCTGACGAATGTTTTATTAAGTGTCAAAGTTTGTTTTTAATTTTACATATATGAGATTGATGACAATAGATTTTATGTCACTGTGAAAATGTTATTTCAAAAAACAAATCAGACAAAGAATATTAGATGACTTCTATCTTTGATTTTATTTAATGAATTCTTATTGGAAGATCTTACAATAAGTTTTATTCTTTTTTTTGTTATCAAAAAAATCCTTCATCCACATTTTTCCAACTTGGATTTTTGAAATGTATCAAATTAGTTCAATAGACCGAGAATTTGTGATACTCCACAACAATCATGATGAATTTCACAATATTCTTTAAAAATTTCAGCTGAAACATGATCTTTATATAATTGTAATGTCATAAATCCATATGCCCAATATGAAGGTTTTGTATTACCATGTCCATGACGATTAAATCCATCACGATAAATATGTAAATTACGTTTGAAATATTCTGTTTTAATTTTTTCCCATTCATTAACATAACCTAATGTAATAAAAATTTGTTCAAAATCATTAAAATTCGATGTAAATAAAACATTTCCATTATTCCAAACAGGTTCATCATTATTTTTATAATCTCGTCCTAATAAAAATACTTTAATAATATCTAAACGTCGAGGAATTTTTTCATTTAAATTTAATAATTTATCTTTTAATTCTATAAATCCTAAACTTGATGAATTTGTTATTGATAATTGAATTTTTCCACGTGTTAAACCTTCTCGCATTAATTTAATCATTTCATTATGATCATGTGATTGTAGAATTGATTGTACTAATATACCAACTAATTCTGTACGTTCTGAACGTCCTTTTATTGCTAAATCAGTAGAATATTGATTTTCAAATCGTTTACGAATATAATCTTGTACCATATTTTTTGCTGCTTTTTCATCTATTAAATCAATAATTTTCATTTTTTCATTATCACTATCAACACGACTAGCTTTACTAGTATATAGAAGTGCTTGAATAATATTATAAAATTTAAAAGTTTTTAAATCATAATTTATATTTAATTCTTGACAAATTGAATTTTCATTAATAGAAGAAATATCTTTAATATTATTTGTATTATTATTAATTACATCAGAAATATATTTTGGTAATAAAGTAATATAATCAACATAATAAATTGTTTTAAATAATTCATCTAAATATAATTCATCAATATGTATTTGATCATGAAATTTAATTTCATTTAATAATGGTTCATTTTCAAATAATGGTTGTACTAAAGTTTTATATTTATTTAAATCAAGTCCAACTAATTGATCAAGCATTTTTTGTGCAATTATATCAGAATCATCACGATTTTTATATTGTTTTCGAATAGCTTGCCAAATTTCATATGTATATAAAGCACGTAAAATTTTCGGTATTTGTTGTAATTTTTTAATATCATTTTCACGATATAATTTAATAAATGGACTAATCATATTTGTTGTTCCATTATTTGCAATATAATAAGAAAATCGATCATCTTGTTCTTTAATATATGGCATAATATGTTGAAAATAATTTCCAACAACAATTTCATAAGTTTTTACGAGTTGATCAAAAGTTTTTAAATGTAATTCTGATTTATTTACATTTAAATCTTCAACTAATTTCCAAACACCTGCACAAATTGTATAACCACTAGTCATTGGAACATCTGCTAATAAACGTCTCATACCAATTGAACATGTATATTCTAATAATGATGGAGCATATTTTTGTAAAAATTTTGCAATACGTTCATTTTCAATAATAGGAATAACATTTGTAATAATTTTATTTGTAGCTGGTGTTTGTAATGGTTGACCTTTTGATTGCATAAAAGCTGTTAAAATATCTGATAAACTAACATAACAACCTAAATATAATTCATTAACACGCCATGTCATTGGATCAGGAAATTCACCGATTGGACCTGAACAAGCAATTCCTACTATATTTATCATACGTAAAATATCATTAGCATTAACATCATCTAATATATCATCAGTAACTAATTGACATACAGCACGTATTCCACCAAGTGTAGTATCTTGAGAAAAGAATGATACTAAATGATCATTATCATCAATATCATTTAATTCATGAATATGTTCAGACATTATTCGAATTTGTTTACGAAGAATTTCATTAAAATCTAAACCTTGTGTAACAGCACGTCGTGCTAAACCACGTGCATTTTTTGATGTATTATCAATAGAACGTAAATATTCAGCTTGTTGTGCAGAATTTAATTGTGAAACTTTATCATCATTAGCTATTTGAGACAATCTCATAACAGATGATTTTTTTTTACGAATAATTGAATTTTTTAAATATTGTAAACGTGCACGTAAACTTGAATCATTAAGTAATATATTATTATCATTATCATTAGATAATAATGAATTTTCAATATTTTGAAAATAATTCATTATATCATTAATTTCAATTTGTGATTCAACTGTATTAACAATTTTAAGAATTTTTAATTGATTTATATAATAATCAATTTTTGTTTTTAATAAATTTTCATAAGTTTCTACAGTTAATTGTTCTTGTAAATGAATTTTAACTATTTTTTTACCAACATTTAAAGTTGTTGTTGGTAATTTACTTAACCAAAATAAATTTTCACCAGGAAATAATGATATTGTATCATATGTAGAAGTTTGCCATGGAGTAGTTTTTAAAATTGTTTCTTTTGATTTAAGTATAGCATGTCGATTTAATGAATCATTAGAAAATAAACTAGCTATAGTAACTGAAATTTCTATATCAGTTAAACTTGTTTTTAAATCTAATAAATTTACATTTGTTGTATTATTTAATTGTAAAAGACTTGAAACAGCTCTTGTATCTGGTTGAGATGATGAAGTAAAAAGTCGAATAGCTTGTGAATTAATAATAAAATCATTTTTAATTAATGAAGTTAATTGAGATGCTACTGTTTGTACTTGATTTTGATCATGTACTTCTCCATCAGATATTGTTAATAATCGTAAAGCATGACAATCTTTTGGTAATTCATTTCGTATAAAATTAGTTAACATTGTAATACCAGGTGCCATAAATGTTTGACCTTGACATTTAATATTAAAATTAGTTAATTGTCTAATTGGAATTGTATATTTATTTGGATTACTATCAAATGTAATTAATGTAATTATATCAGCATCATTATAATTTAAAGATTTGAAAATTTCCGGTAAAATTTTATTGACAAATCTTGGTACAGAATTACCCATAGAACCAGAACGATCAAGAATGACAATGGTAGAAACATTTGATTTAGATAGAAGATTTTCATTAATATTACTATCATTCGATATATTTAATGTAAGTTTTCCAATGTAACCATTTTCATTTGGATAGAGAAAAAGTTCAAGATCAGAATTCATATTGTTTATTACTTTTAATAATGAATTATTGTTACAATATAAATAGTTTGAGAAAAACTGATGAAATTATACAATGATATATAAAACTAAACGTCATCAATCTTGCACAACGCATCGTCAATGTTCGTTACTTTTTGAAGGATAGAAATAATATTTTGTCACGACAGATTTTTTTTCTTGTTCTCGTTTTTCTTTGTCTTTCTTATTATTTTAGGTTACATTGCAATGACTCATTCTTTCTTCGATTGATGCAATATGAAGAAATTAGTTTGTAACAACAGAGTAGTGATCTATTTTATTTGTGTGTATTAGGAAAGTTAAGAATGAGCTTGATTCAACTAAGAACAAATAATAAAATTTATAATAATGTAAATCGATTTGAAAAGAACTTAATATTTTATTTGTTGGAATCTTCATATATTATTCCATCAACGAAAAACAAACATCGTAAACGTCGACAATCGAAGAAAGCAAGGACGGCTTTATTTCGATGATTTCATTTCTTTTATATAAATATAACGAATATCTCAGAATAAAGGGATCTCTTAATATCTTATTAATATCTCTGTCAAACTTCATTACTTCGACTTATATAAACAAACCTAATCGTCCATACACAAGGGTGTGAATGTGGACGAGTGTAGATCTACGTTGTATGACTGTGAATGTAAGTGACAAGAACATCCACATTCTTTCTGTAGATAAAAAGCAAAAGTGCATACTATATTCATTGTCAGAAACTGGCGATCAATGCATTAAATAATGTAAAAACATGTTTATCTCTTTTTTTCTTCACTACCTGGTCAACGTACAAAAAAAGTATATTGTTAATGGAAACAATGTTGTAAAAAGAGGATTTAACGTGTTTGAGTTGAAACAACCTAATAGTTTGGCATAGAACTAAATTCTTTATTATTATTATTATCGTAATATAAAGTGCGAACACAAAATACACGCAAATGTGCATCCATAATATAGTTCATATACATTCGTATAAGAGAAAATATATAAAGTTTATTTAAAGTAATGTATATTTGTATGCTTTGCCGCCAGCCACGATTACATACAGATTATGAGCAGAATCCAAAGCAACATCTCTTGGTTCGTCACTAAGGCTTAATATGACCGTACCCATCGTTGAGTTGACACAATACATGACTACTCGTTTATTGTCATGATCAGCAACGAACAAATTGCCACTCGTATCCAATTTGATGCCTCTTGGTTTATCAAGAGTATCGTTACAAGTGACTTGAGTCAGATTTACACTCGGAGCTGATGCACCAAATGTCCATAAATATACACCTTTGCCATCTTCATCGCTAATATATACTTGATTTGATGAGAAGATTGAAAGTACAAGTGCAGATGGTTTGGAAATGATGCCACTGGTACTAATCGCAGTAACAACGCTAGTTGCATTTTGTTCGAGTTTTGCCACTCGATCATTGTCTCGATCAGCAATGTAAAGTGTAAAATTTTCGTCTACAGCAGTACCTTTTGGATAATTAAGACTACCACTTACAGATGAGCCTGATCCAGCAACGATAGTACCAGTTGAAGAATTGGGAGGATAGCGTCGCACCAAATTTGCATCATGGGCGTTGGTATACATGTATCCATCTTTGTCAAAACTAATATAATCAATGTGATCTCCAGTATTGGTAGTCACTGCAGTTCGACTAGTTGTATTTGTGACCCATTTTTGAACGTATCCAAGACTGTGAGCGCAAGTATAAATTGTATCGTCACTTACAACATAAATACATCTTGGATCCGAAACTGGATTAGAATTAGTGTCGGCTACAACTACGCCTGTTTGATTCCAAGAATAAGTAGTACCTAAAGCGATAGTTCATACTTTTTATATGCAATGATCTAATGTAAATTAACTAACATGTGTTGCAGCCTGTAGTGGTAGTGGTTGTTGTTGTCGTTGTCGTCGTCGTTGTTGTTGTCGTTGTCGTCGTCGTTGTGGTTGTAGTTGTCGTCGTCGTTGTGGTCTCAGTTGTACTGGTGGCTAAAAATTTCATAGCGATTATTTTCTTCTTTATTATGATTGAATGTCAATATCTACTTACATGTAGTCGAAGTCGTAGTTGAAACAGTCCCTCTTTGTGTAACTAATAAAACATGAAGAAAATTCTTTTAATTTGATGTGTTGGTGTTTTTCCACTATGTGTTGCTAAGAGCTACTTTTTTGTAGTCAATCATACTTTTATCGCAATGCGTACCGTTGTCCTTAAGTGAACCGATGCACGTTATGTCGTACTTTCTAGATTTATAGATCGAAATCTCGTGTTTCAGAATATTACGAACTCGACAATGAACTGTTGAAGGATAATTGTTTAAAGGCAAGAAAAAAGTTCAACACTTAATTAATCAAAAACGTTTTTCGATTCTCAAATAATAATCTCATACGCTTTCCGTTAAATTCACCAGAGTAAAGTTTCCATACTTTTTATTCTCTTTTGAATGATCAGGACAAAATAGTCAAAATGGCTAGCCGTCAATCTCATTGAATAAGTGATGGTTTTTGTTTTGAAACATATTGACAGACATTGGCAGAAATCTAGTAGCGAAGGCTTTTGTCATATTTCCTTTCCAATATTTTCCTAATTTTATAAGCTCATCGAAACGAATATCTTAAGTAAATAACTTCTTTTCAATTAAATGATTCAATTTGCTTCTCGATCGCGTATGACTACTACTAGTAAAAATGATTTTTATGCTCGATATACACAGTGCCTTTCGCAATTCAACAAATACTTGATATTTCAAAGCTACATCTTGCTAGTATTTTATAGTGTGGGATTTATTTGCCTGCTGACCATTTTTTTCCTTGACATACATGAAAGATGGTAATAGTTTTCATTGCGACAAGATTTGAAAAAGAGAAACTTTCAGTCTTTATTTTAGGTTTGAAATAAACTTTTATGTATCACAAAGGCATAAACGTTCTAGAATTGTTGAATAGAAGTCTTTATTTAACTAGGATACTGCTGAAGTTTGTATCCAGATTCTTGTTCTCAGTACATTTTTGATAATGTCGGAAGAAAGTGATCTTTCATATTTCAGACTTTGTTATTTAAATTATAAAAACCGTCGAGAATCCAAGCTTCAACAATCACGATAGTTTCTAAGTGAAAACAATAATGAAAATCTGAAACGGACGTCTATGACCAAGATAACTGACTTGAAGGCGAGTGAATATATTTAAGATGAGATCTAATGAAAACTATGTATAAGTCTTAAAGTATTAGAAATACTGTTACAGAAATATGGAAGTATTTTCTTTTGACAGTTTTTTTTCATTCAATAACAAAGTGTCTATCATATTTTGCTATTATAAATGGTTATCATCAAAATATAATGAAAATAAAATAGAAAATCAATTTCTTTCTCATTAGAGTCATCAATGAATGATCAGCACAGATTTATGTTGAAAATTTTAAGATAAAGTTGCTTTCTTAGTTTTTCCATACGTACCAAAGATAATGATAGCCGCTATCAACGCTGCCAGCAAGATGGTACACAAAACAGCAGCTATCAAAATGTAACAACAGCAATGCGTCATTGCGAACATAAAACCTCTTCATAATCATTCGTACATGTGTTTAACTTAGAAGAATTTTGACACAATAAAGGATTTACCTTCGGCGCCGTTTTCTTTTTTCTTTGTCTTCGTCTTTGTCTCCCAGTGTTTCAATCTAAAGATGCAAATTTCATAAAGTTAACTTATAGAATCAAACAAAGTTACTCTCCTGTACCAGTCCACGTGAACTTTTGCTGGAACCTGATGCCAAATAACGACTTGCCAATGACAGATCAACATCTTTTGACTGCAAAAGACATAACAAGTCAAAACAAACATAAGATATCTAAGAGGAAGGCCAGAATTTCGGCCCAAGAAATTTTCGATTCGGTTCCAAATTCCGGTACCGTTTCGACCCAGGTCAAAATATCACCAAAAATCCGGCCAGGAACGAGATTTCTCTCACTACTATTCATAAAAATTAGTCTAGTTTCAATGAATAGTTGGCTCATTCCGTAGTGCTGAGCCGGACAGTATAGGGTGTGGGTGTGAGAGTGCGGGTATAGGTGTTGATCTTGCATCTATTCACACCCACACTCCAAACGGTGAAGAGCGGCGGTCGTTTTTTCATCGTTTTAGGCAGTTTAAGACATCGTTTCAGACGGTAGGAATGATCAACTTGGGTGGGAGTAAGTGTTAATGTGAATCTGGTGAGGATAGGAATGTGAGTTTTAGCTTAAGCATCAACATTAAATCCACAACGCACTCTCCTACACATCATGTTCTTCTACCGGAACCGGTCCGTAGACTTTAACTGTGCTACTCATGTGGCCACCTCTAGGGGGAAGGAGCAAGACTTCAAGAGTGCTTACTTCACTCCTACTTCACTGTACTTCACTTGTACTTCATTCGTACTTCACCGTACTACACTCCTACTTCACTGTACTTCACTTGTACTTCAGTCGTACTTCATGATACTTCATCGTACTTCACTTGTACTTCGCCCGTACTTCACCGTACTTCAGCTGTACTTCAACCGTACTTCATCGTACTTCACTGTACTTCTGAAGTAGATGAAGTCTTGCTATTTTCCCCTAGTTCAGGATTCATTTAATGTCTTTCTGCTTCTAAAATCTGATCGATTTCGCTCCTTTCTCTGTTACTATAATCGTCAAGCTTGTAAATTCATTGTATTGATGTCTTTATGTCAAATTAAAAAGTTTTTCAAACAATTCATTACTTTGATTGATTTGATACATTCCTCTGCATATACAGGCGTTCTGTCCATGTTGTACGGATTGCTTGGAGAGCTAATTTGGCTTTCGTTGTACATTTTTAGTCGACTTATTTTTTGCACATGAACTGATGAATAACTTGTTCTGTTCTGATTGTCGAATTGTTGATCCATTGTCATTTGATTATTAGAGGGTTCAATCTTTGTTGTCTTAATAATGAATGATGGACTTATTTTTTGTACATGAACTGATGAATAACTTGTTCTGTTGTGGTTGTCGAATTGTTGACCCGTTGTCATTTGATCATTAAAAGGTTCAATCTTTGTTTTCTCAATAATGAATGATGAACGTTTTTTTTTCGCATGAACCAACGTGCGGCCAGTATTTCCTGCATAGTCAGATACTCGCTTTTGCTAGAATAGAGAAAATTTCTTAATATACAGTCTCACAAATATTAATGAATATTTACCGGTAAAAGGTGTCTGTTGACGCGAGCTACGATCGTACGGTGAGTTTTTGTTGCCATTCGAAAGAAATCTTAATGCGTCGCTACCAAATTTCGTATGTTCTTCTAAAAAAGAGAGAGAGTTGCATGCATTTTATAGTCTAAATTCTTTAATAACAAATGAAAATCAATAAAACCAAGTAATGATTGTTTTGTGTGTGTGTGTGATTGAAAGAAAATAATAAGAAATCAATCAAGTGCATTGTTTCACAATTCTATGTTGAAATGAATAAAAAAAAGAAATTTCTTAAGTCTTTGTAGTGATGAAAATAAAAAATCTCATCTCATTAAACATAAAAAAAAAAATAATGTTGTCTATATTGGTGAAATCGAAAGAGAGAAAAACATCAGCTGCTTATTTACAAACAAACTGAATTAAAAAAAGATTTCATGATGTTCGTAAAATGTATATTTAGAACTCGAAAAAAAAATGCCTTTTTAGATGATAAAAAGAACAAAAGAATTGATTCATTTCAAATACATTAATTAAAAGCGACATTTTAATGAAGCAGACATAAGGAGTTTGATTTTTAATCAAAATCATGAAATGAAATTAATGAAAATGTTCGTTTTAAATATTGAATTTCGAATACATTAATTTTTATATTCGTTTCATAATTTTAATACAATTTTTTATTGACTTTTCAAGTCTCTAGATTGGTTTGGTTCTGCTTCATCAATATTTTTTATTGAGAAATATTTATCAAGACAAAACAATACAATATTTTATTAAAGAAACTGATAGTAATAATAGAAATGAGAACATAATTTCATAGTTCATAAGATAATGACAAAAGAATATTAGTATTATTTTTAACCAAATGTTTTATTAATCTTATTGAAATATTCATCGAATAACAGAGAATATTTTCCGTATCATTTCATTAAATCAAGAAGTACTTGATTTCGTGGAGACTTGTGCATGTTGTTTCATTGTAGCCACGCTGCATGCATAATCTTTTCTTTTTTTTTTAAAACATCAATAAACCCATATAAGTTTGGATTAGAAGTAGCAGTAATTTCAATAAGTCAATAGTGTTAGCCTTTCAATCCCTTGTTGATTTTAGGACTTTTGAAATTATAATAACGCCATAGTTGTCTTGGAAATAAATACCGATCATCAATCCAAATTTCTATATAGTAGCCAATGAAATCTTGTGAATATTTTAGATGATCCATAATTTCATACATTGACTTATTTATTTCAGAAACAAGCATAAATGCTAAAGTTTGAGTTTCTTGAACTAAAAGTTTTACACTTTTTGTATCATCTTGTGAAGAATCATAACAATCTTTTTTAAATATACATCGTCTGTAGTCGAAATGACAATTTTTGACAATTGTATTAGGATAAAAACCATTGTTGAGAGCGTGAATAGTTCGATATTGTCGTCACTATCTAGTGTATTTCTTGCTCCAAAGCAACATGTCTTCAGTGAAACTTTGATATTTTTAAAGACAAATATGTGTGACTCAACAGACTGATCACGAGAATGTCGATAAAAAAGAGAAATTACTAATTATTGGTATACATGATAAAGTTCTATACTGTGTTTGCTATTCAGAAGGAACGAAAGTCAAGTTCTGACTCATCGATGGGCGTCTACGGATAGAGAGAGAAAGAGAATCATAATTACATTATATCATATTGATTGAAATGGCTTCATAGAGCAATGAACCAATTTTTTACATTTCTGCTGTTTAGATATTGTACGACAAGACGAAATATAATTCTCTTTGTCTTGAAATTAAAAAAATGAAATCTCTAACAGACTGTGCGTGATATAAGCAGCGAAAATTCATTTCTTAAGTTGAATGTTGCATTTAGACAGTCACTATCAGAAGTGCGAAACGATGGAGCTCTTCATGTATACATAGATGTTGGCGTCTGTATGGCAAATTTTGATGAACTAGACGAATAATTCTGTTGCTACTCTCGATAATAATTTTTATTGAGCTATTCCATTACTCCATACGTATCTACATTACTATCAACATAACTTTGCATACTAGTTAAGTTCAATATTATAAGTAAGATATCACTCAGGGAAGAGAAGGTAAGTGAAATGTAACCTTCATTTACCGTTACATAGGCGTAAAGAATTGACCATCAAAGTATCTGAATTGGTTCGTATACGAAAATTTTTTTAGGAAACTTTTCCATCTGGCAAAAGCAACAAAACATGATTTTACTGAGTAATCCTGTGAAAATATCTACAGAACCCAAAAAATTTCGCAAATATAAATTCACGCATAACAGTAGACTTTGCAATTCTGACAAATGCATGGACGACGATGAGGTAGACGATAAGATTCACATCAACACTGTCGCATTCTTACATGTTGATCTTCACCTTCAAATTCTAAATATACATATGTATTGCTAGAAAAAAAGCTATGCGTGTGGGTGTTCTTCTTCTTTGAATCCACATCCACATCCCAGAGATCGTGTAGCTTAAGAAGTTGTCTACACAATGTACTATTTAGTTTTTCAAAAATGCTGCTTCAATTCGAAGTTTTTTAAAATTAAAATGCATGAACTGAAAGTTGATGTGGTTTTTTTTTGTATCACGTCTCTAACACTAGTTTTTCACTGATAACTCTTCTGAACTAAGGTCTTTAACGCTGATTTTTTCAGAGTATCTCGAGTAACTTGACATATACATGTAATATATAAAAATTAACTCTAGGAAAATTCATTATTTCGAGATACATATTTTTTAATTTTGCAAAGTAACGTCGCTAGTGAATAATTTTTAAATGACAGTGAAACTTTTTTTTTTAATCGAGAAAATAATTATTTACACGATTCTTTTTTTTTCGATCGATATTATTTATATTTGAAATAAGATTTCTAACATAAAGTGAAAGCTTTTCACATAAAAATACAGAACATTTACTTTATTAAATGTATAAAATGAAAATATGTTAGATTTATTATTTATTCCATGAATTTAATTAATATCAATGTAATTGAAATAAATTAGTTGAGAGATATGAAAATCGATCTTGGATCGACTGTATTAAGGTCAATTAGTACTAACTACTGATAAATAACAAAGAAATATAATTCCCCTTTTATCAAAAGAAAAATACCATAGTATAAAATTTTAATAGATTAAATCTTTACATTGAATTTTATTATATATCAAATTTTGCTTTAAAATACAAGATATTGCAAGTATAGAAATGATTTAATTATGTCGTTCTAATTAATATTCACAATATTATTTCATCTTTATCTTCCATAATGACATAGAAGAAGCGATGTAATTACAAACTCCAAGTAGTAGTGTTATATCAAATAAACTTAATGATGGTATATTTAATTCTTTTGATATAAATTTAAAGTTTGAACTTTTAATTTTACATTACATATATTTTATTTTTAAATTAGCACAATAAAAAATAAATAAAAGACGAAGGTCGATTAAGTCATTTTTCTTCTCAAAAATAAAACAAATTTTGAAATAAATTCTCATATCGATAACAAGTTACTTATGGGTTATAACATAAGTATAGTTGTTTACCTTGGCTTGACAACGAGATTTTTCACACGTGTACCTCCTCCTCAACTTACCTACAAAAAAAAATATTGTTTCATATTTGAGTGAAATACATACAGTTTTATATAATTTGAACTTTGATAGAAATTTATTGATATATTGACAGAGAATAATCTCTTAGCGACTGTATTTATATGAGATTTGGGCATGTATACAAATATTTCAAGTGATATAATATTAGATAACATCTTTCTCTTGTAAGAAAAACTATCAACGCAACATTCGCAAGATTAAAATGTGAAACACAATATAATTACTATTGGTAATTACAGGGAAATTGTTTTGTTTTATCTATTTTTGAACATATTTTTTTCACCATCTTTTTACTGAATCCTCCAGAAATGTACTCAAGAAGTAGATTCTATTTTGGAACGAGACGTTATTGAAATACGGTCTGTGGTGGTCTCCGACTAATTATTACGTATTTTTTTTCTTCAATATTTTCTATAGATGTTTATTCATAAGTCACTACTTAAATGATTAGTCAACCTATACTCACAAGGTTTAAGATGAGAAAAAGATACGAATACTGTTGGCAAAATGAAAATTTTTCGTTGAAAACAGAGTACATTTATGTAGGATGTGAATGTTTTTTTTCTCTGTCACCTACACCAATATTCTTATGTTAAACAGTTTCTTTTCTACTATTGATACCATAGTGTATTAATCCAACAAATTTATTTTATTTCTGTAGAAAAATCAAAACATATTCAAAACAAGTTCTTTTCAGAGAAAAAAAATTGATTCGAGTGGCAAAATAATTCAAGATTACTATCCAAAAAGTATTTTTTGAGAATATGAATATTTTGAGTTGCTATTACCAGATGAACAACACGTCACTGTATTAGATCGTCTCTAATCATCTGTTGCTATTGTTTTTCATCCCAATTATCAAACCAACTATCTATACTTCCGATTAGAATTTTAACTATATACTACAAAAAAAAACAGAGGCAGAAAATAGCAAACAAAAAAAAAGTCAATATGACTTACATCACCGAAACTGAATGGTAAATCTTTGCCACGACAGGCTTCAATTTCTTTCTTTTCACTTCGATAGTCATCGACAACATCGAGATTCGGAATCTTCCTATCCCAATTGTTCAAGTATCCTATACATTCTTCATCGTCTAAAATGAATAATAAGATATCAGTCAATATGTTTCAAAACTTACGAAGAGATTTAGCAAAACAAAGAGAATCATAGAGTATTGCTACAATGTTTTCAATCTACCTGTACAAGCAATGATTGTAACTGGAATTTGATTGGTAGGTTTACGTTCATTTTTGAGAACATGTTCAAGTGTATGAATATCTGTACGTTCTCGATCGTCTGTTGGTATACCATCAGTTGCTATGAGAATGAGCAATTTACGCTCATAAATATGGTTACGCTTGTCTTTAAGGACTTGTCGAAAAACGGGTACAATTGGTGTTGAACCTAAAAAAAAAGAAAGAATTCAAATAACAGCTATTGAAGAAGAATCTAACTTGGCATCTACCTTCTGGTTCCATAGCAAAGATATTCTCTAATTCGGACGCACTACGCACATGAAACATGGGCTCACGATTGAGAAAATAGACATCAACACCATCAGGATCAAGAACACTGGCCAAATCGACAACAATCGATACCGTTTGTTTTAGTTCATCCCCTAGCAATAGCAATCAGACTAATGTTCATATGTCATTATCATACTGTATCAGAACTTACATCGTGTCCTTTGTTTTCCATGTGGATTAGTAATTTCTCCTGAAGAATCAAGGAAATAGTACATTAGTGAGAGACAAAAAATATGTTAGATATAATGATAACTTACCAACTGGCGTATTCATCGAACCTGAATCATCACAGATAAAAACAATTTCATAACCTCTAAGTACGTATAATTTTTCAGCAAAACTTGGATTAACTAAATAAACTTATATGTCAATGATTTAAAGTATACTCTACGAAACTCTCACTTTCATAACGATTGATGAACTCATCGAAATTAGGCATGCGTTCTTGTCGTGATTCACGATAATTTTGATGTGAATAGTTATCAGAACCATATGCCTGTCGATTATCATTGACAATAGAAGAGTAAGATGGTGGAGGTGTTATTGGTTGTTGATATTCACGTGAATCCATTCTATCAATAACAGAAAAATGTCTAATATTTATTAATACTCTTCCTTTTACCTGAATAAAATGACGTTGGTGTTAGAAGAACGCAAAAAGCAACTAGAATAAGTTATAATGATAAGTGACGGTATGCGCATACAAAACAAAAGAAACAGAGAATAGATTGAGTCAAGAATAAAAAATATTTTACTGAGTAAGACTATGACTATTTTTTGACGAATGAATTACAAACAACCCATCTGTCGCTACTCAAAAGAATCTTCTCGGCTTCTGCTACTATAAAAAAAAGATCAAAATTTTCTATGTTAACTCTTATCTTTAAAAATTGTGTCAATGTAATCAAAAGAATATAATTTCAAGAAAACGAAAATTTTCTATTTTGTGATTTCGAATTTCGTTTTCGAAACTTTTTTTCGAAGAATATTCGCTAGCTAACTTATCACTCTTTTTTCTTTTCAATAATTCACTTGTTACTACAATGATATTTAGCTGCTATGTCTTGCCTTTTGTCTCATTTTATTTTTGATGTTTTCATTCACTGAAAACATCTTCTCATGTTATGTTTCGTTAGACACGAACGATACTTAAATACAGACTATAGTACACACCAATAGAGAAATTGATTCATCCATCATCAAGATCATTGAGACCACCATAGGGATGCTACTCCCAACAAACGGTCTCATAGATGTCCCTCTTTTTTTGTCGTGATGTGAACAATAAGGACATCTACTGCAACGACTGGATGACACAAATGAATTACTTTGTAATTCAATGAAAAAGTGACTTATAAAATAATTCAATTTTTATTAATTGGTATCGATAGTTATGATAGAGTCTACCGGAGTATGGGGGTGAGGATATTCCACACTCTTATTAACAGTGTTAGACGCTTTTAGACCCTGATAGGTTCTTAAATAAGTCTCTTCTATAACATATAGAAATTTTGAATTATTTTGTAATTTATTTGCGTTATGAACTTGTCTTCGAATTTGAATTATTCAAGTCTGTTTCAATCAATATTTTGTGTTAGACTATTCGTACTTCCTAACCATCTGTAGTCTCCTCAGTTTTACTCTTACGATTATATTTATCGATAATCTCATATAGAGTGAGTTCTATATAGGACGCTTTGTTCAACAAGAAGTATCTGAGGATACAAAGATCGATCACTAAGTTCACTCTAAACGTCTATTGCTTGTCGGATTGAACTAATACTATTTGATACAGCAATGGCGAATCTATACATATCATCTGTTCTTTTCCATCAATGTTCACTTTCTGATTTTCTTCGCAGAAATATCCATACAACGTACAATATATCTAGCTTTCAGAAAATGAAAAATATCGTTAGTTTTTTTTTTGGTAAACAAACATTTGAACAATGCGTAAGAAACAAACAAGTTTCAATGTCATAAGTCTGATTTATAGAATTTTTTTAATCCATTCTTCGATCACTTGATTAATTGCTTTCGGCTGCTCTTCCATCAACCAATGACCGGTGTCGAAATCAATTATTTCAATGTTGGGCGTGAATGAACTTTGTTTTGTAAGAGATGTTTCACGACAGACATCGACTTGCTTTCCTCTCACAAAGAGAATTTGACGTCGAACAGTTGGATCGATATTTTTTTCATCTTCCCAATCAACATTGGCAATAATTGCTCTGTACCAATTCAATTTTGGCTGCATTCCTTCGCTAAGATATTGACGCAAAATATTGTAATCATTTTCTGTCATATAAGTCGCTCGAGCAATTCTATGATTATTGATCAACCATTGTCGCATCTTTCCAGTAGGAGTAAAATGTGTCTTGAAAAGTGTTGTATTACTTGCATAAATGAGATCAATGAAACTTTCCAAATTATTTTCAATGATTGTAGCAGCATCATCAGAATCAAAGAATTTCCAATAACCCAACGAATCATATCCACAATATGCTTCTGAAATCGCTATCATTTGATCAAGATCAAATATTCTCGGTACCATGTAGTCAATACTAAGGAGGATAAGGCCCAATGTTCGTTCAGGTTGATAAAGAACAATGCGACTCGCGGGTCTCGTACCCCAATCATGTCCAACGACAACAACTTTATCTAAATTCAAGTGATTAAGAAGAGTCATGAAATGATCTACCATTGATTTAGTCTTATATTCAGTTTTGTTCATTGGAGAATACGACTTGCCATATCCCATTGTATTTACTGCCAAACATCCATAACCTTGTCGTGAGAAATACTCAATTTGGTGACGCCAACAATGGAGAGATGATGGAAAACCGTGAACAAAGAAAAATGTTGGTTTTTTAACGTTGCAATCATCATATGCTTCGACATAAATATATTCGTATGTAATACCGGGAGCAACTTCATATGTTTGTGTTTCTAAGATTGGCTCAGATTGTCTTTCAAAATTATTGCCAATATGTTGGCTTTCTAGTGACGGTAGAGGCACGACACATGTTATTTGAAGACAAACGACAAAATGAGATAAAAGATGGAATATGAAGTTTTTTTTAATACTCATTTATTTTCATTCGAATAACTGGCAAGATTCAATTTGAGATATAAGCATTCCACATTCCTTTTTATCTTAATCTCTATTTTGCTTTGTTGTTCTTTGGTTTTATCTTGAATTCAATATTACTATTAGACTATAGTATTTGAAAACAGATATTGTCGTTGTCGCTTATATGTCATCCTTTGTAAATATTTACTCAAAAAATATAATGATATGTTGTTGATTTCTTTCAGTCAATGATAAGGTTATTATGATTACAAGTTAAAAGACTTACTACACACAGATTTTCTCTTGCTTATCTAATGCATTTTGTTGATACAGTGATTTCAACGATAACAATCTGTCACAAATGGTAAATCTTTATACGCTGCATATGAACGAATAAACACATCTTACGTATATTCCATATGGATATTTCACAATTTATACTCCAATGAAGTCATTCCTTAACATGATGTCCAATACGTGAATGACACAGAAATGTATTGAACTTTCGTTTTCTTTCAATATCAAAGTTCCAGATAGTGGTGTCAGAATAGTCTTTCTCCAGTGAAATCAACTGTTGTTTATCATCTTGCTTCTCGTTTGCTTTTAATAAAAATAAAAATCATTTTTTTAAAATGATGAACATATTAAGAAAATTTCTTGTTGATATTTTCAATAGTTGAACTTGAGAAATTTCATTTCTAAAATGAGTGAACTAGACGATGTCCGAAAAAGTGGAGAAATAAATTAACCCTCGTAAAATCAAGAAGAAATACATTGTTAAAACAACTGTAATCGTGTTACTTGAGTTCTTTTATGTCAGAATGAATTACTTAGATACAAAGCAGAAATGTCTCTATCATTCCTACTTTCGCAAGCAGAAGCTCAAAAGACTTAGGCCCAAATCGTTCAGTTTTCTTTTTCATCATAGAAGAATTTCTAACATGAATAAATTCTGTTCGGCAAAAATAGAAATACTTCAAGAAGAAATGGAAAGAAATCATTTCCGCTGAAAATAAGATATGTATGTAACATTAGTGAATGATACATATAGACCTAAATTTTACAATTATCCATTCGTGGAGACGTTCTATTGGTGAATGTGTTCACTTGATATTTACCGGCAGGATATTTGCTGAACATCTAGCGAGAGGTTAGTCAGAATGTGGATGAGGATAAAGGTGCTATGATCAGACTCTTTCTCTTTTTACGCGCTCATGTTTACTCTCTTTTATGTGATTATTTGAGGTTCCCAAAAAATTGAAATCTATCAAAAATAATGGAAAAAGAGAATAATAAAGAATAATTGTCATATATCAGAAGATAATTCCTAAAATTCATTAATTATTTATCTCATTCTTTTTTTGTAATATTATAAAATACGTTCAATATGTGTAATATCGTTGATCGCTGATTAACACTGGTTCAATAAATGAAATCGGTTTTTTTCACACAATATCTAAACTATTGATGAAAAATCATCGAGATTTCAACTGGGTTTTACTATCTCTATTTGAATCAATGTTTTTCTGAGGAATATCAAAAGAAATCAAATAAATAACGATTTAATTACGGACGATATCTATTTCATCGATTTAAATCGACTGTTTCCATACGAATATGACAAGTGGATCGAAAAATCGATCTGATTTTAATCTATGTCTATTTTGTTGAGTCAAATCGATGTTTGTTTTTTTTTCTGTTTGAAATATCAATCAACGATCAGAGCTTTAACTGACATCGATTCATGACTATTTGATCTATTTCTATCTATTTATCAATTGCAAGAAATAGATCTCATTGAAATCGACGTTTGTCTTATCTTTTCGAATCAAAGTTTTCATATAAAATATTCATAGTCGGTGAAAAATTAAACTGATTTAAAACGATATTCGTCTTTCTTTTATTCAAATGGACTGCTAGATATATCATGTGTTGAATATGAATAATCTATCAGATACCTCACTATGCGAGATGCATTTGAGTAAATAAAAATTTTAAAAATATCGTATCAGAATCTGGTTATTTCAATAATCTGTAATCAACAAAAGTATCTATTAAAATTAGAGTTTTGTGGGTGCATGAGTATATGTGTTCAATTCACTCACGCGCACTCACGCTCACTCTGACATCGACACCTACACATACCCAAATAAGATATATAAAAAACAAAAAGTCGATAGCTGATACGAATCGATTATGCAACGAAGCCGTCTCATAATCGTTCTAATTTTTACAACACTCAGCTTGGATTCTTTTGTAATATTCAAGCTTCACACACTTTCGCTTCCATGTTCGATGTAATCGTGTTGTTTATTAGCCAAGTTGACATATTCTGTTTGTCCTGCTTTATTTCACCAGCTATGCAAAAGTTTCTAATGAACATTCGTGCGTTATTTCGAATCTTGACTAACACAAACAAGGTGATGAAGAAAAGATGAACTCACCCAAACGTGCTGTCATAGATAGTGTAGCAGTGAGAAACATTTGCCTTTTAGTCACATCGATCTGAATGCGATTCGATAACATGATAAATAAACTATATACACAACAATGTATTTATGGACTTAGCATCTCTCTTCTGTGTAACTAAAATATATTGACTCAGAAGTTTTATTTACTTTTTAAAGTTTTTTGACCAGTTATTAGCATTCATGTACATTCGTACCTCATAGTTATGAGATCATTATAGTATCATTCAGTATTGATTGCACTTCTAACGTAAGTACATATATATGTTCGAATCCTATTTCTGGAAAAGATTATTATGCGTTCATGAATGATTGCCACATGTTTTATTTTTTGATCATTCGAAAATTTTCTTGCATGTGATAATAAAATGCATGTACACGTCAGTTAAAATTGATGGTATATTGTTTGAATGATACTTTTGTCACCGAGTTTTTTTCTAATTGGACTTCAAATTCGTGTCGGAGATCAAACAAGGATTTCGACGCAGGTTTCTTCCAATGAAACAACAATTCTTAAAAAATTTGAAAATTTTTTTACATGCTCTCAACAAATAATTAATATAAATAAGAAATTATATCATGAAACAAATCAAATTCCAATTATTTTTCTTTTATCTGATGATATTGAAATACGCCAAGCTGCTTTAAAACGTTGGAAATTCTCATTTGAATGTTTTCAATCAGTTGAAAATAAATGTCAATCGAATAATAGAAATTTAAATATTTTAGCAAATTCCAATCCAGTTTTTCATATATCATATACTAACGATCGAATATTAGCTTTTCAATTAGGAATATTTGATAATTTTCTTTTTAGTTTATGTGAACAACATATAATTAGTACATTCAGTTGATTTGGTCGTTTTGCAGCTTTTGTCTGTTTAAAACTACGAAATATTTATGCATTGCTTTTTAATGAACAACCTTCTTGTCACAATCAAAGTATACTACATGCAACTGTAGGTTATCAGTGGTCGGGAATTTAATTATTCGTGGGTGTGAGTGTGGGTGTGTTTCTTAGTCTTCTCTTCATCCACACACACCAACACTCAATCGGTCTGAAGCCGATTGAATCAGCACGAACAACAAATCATGACGCCTTTCGAAGAAAAAATAAAATTTGATTTAAACGTTTTCTTATTGCAAAGCACTTTGTTTTAATGTTTCGAGAATGATTTCGAAAATGATATTATTTGTCATTTTTGTTTATTTAAAAAATCAAGAGAAATTTGATCAAGAAATATACATTGCATTCTTCTACAACTAAACAAAAAGTCATCATTGTTTGATTTAGGATGGTTAAGGCCGTGTCGACATGGTGTTGCCTTCAAAATATGTGGTGGTGACGTTGGTGTTGCTGGACATATGGTTAAAATAATTCCAGCACAGTATGCTCGACTGTGGTTAATTTCGACAGATTCCAGCACAATGTGATCCTTTAATATGCATGCACCCGTGTCGCACAAGTGTGACGCTAAAAGAAACAGAAATGCATATAAGATGAATGATATGAAAGATTTTTGTTTTACCTGTCATGCTGTCACTTCGAGCCGATAACAGCGGAAGATCATCTTCCTTGCTTCGAAGGCTCACATGATGCCTATGGAGTGCGAAATGTTTTTTGTTGAATTTCTTGCAGCATTTATTAATTTGGTCCTTGACGCTCGAGAATGTTTTGCTGTTCTTCCACATACATATTTGTGTATGGAGACTTGGCTTTGATAAGCATGTTTCCATTATTGAACAGGATAGCCACTCGACAAAGTGGGGACCTGAAAACTGAACTTATAACAATAACAAAAAAACGAAAACAAACTTACCATCGCAACATTTCGGACCGGTCATCTTTTTCAATTCTTCCACTTCTAACGTTGGCTTGATGTTTCGAGGATTGATCCATCGAACATAATCATCAGCATCTTTCATTTCCTTGTATAGTTGACCACATTGTTCTTTACTAATGATCTTGAGAAATGTTTGTGCAATACCGAGTTCATTTTCCACCACTACTTCTTCAGCCACCTTCACCTGTTTTCTTCCAACGCCACGACCACGTCTCGCATCCTTCAACTTATTCTAAACAAATAAAAAAACCGATGACCTTTTTTTTTTTTTTTTTACTCACCACCACCGCTTGGTACGTCACTCCAACTCCAACCGAAATTTCCGTTTTTTTGATCGACTGTTGGATACGGATTGGCGCCCAATATTTGTTCTATGTAACAATTTCCCGCACGCGTCCACTGACGATTACCTTCATTATACATAAAAAAATTTACAGGAAACATAATAACTGAACAATCACACAAGGAAAAACAGAAAGAAATAAAAAAAAAACAACGAGAGAATAAATATACAGAAAGAACAACAAAAAGGAAGGAAAGAACAAATATACACAGAAAAACCAAAGAATGAATGAATAACAAGAAAAAAAAATATACACGCACAACCAAAGAATCAGTAAGAAAATATTGAACACGTTAGCTTGAATGTTGACAGTGTTTATCACGTTTATTGAATGTTCTGAATTATCACTTGACTGTTCTATTTCAGTGACACACACCACTAATCTCATTTACCTATTAATCACTTCCCTTCTATCGTAAATTAGTTTATCTCTTTGACAATAACCATTAGTCACGACTTTTGATCATTCACAAAACATAACACTCGATCAATACAATGTCTATATATATACTATCTACATATAACGTCCACTTTACATACCATTATCAAGTTAAACAATATTCAATAATTTCTAATGGCATCTTCAACAACAAACTCACAGAAATTTCTTAATTCTCTCAAACGTCATGAAATAAACGATCTTAAAACAGCTTTACTCTCGCCTGGTCGTCATCTTGTTTTAATCAATCATCGACACGTCGACTCATCACTCCCTCTTGATCAACTTGCAACAATGAAAAGTATTCGACCACCAGGCGGTGAGTAATATTATGACTAAATAAGCTAAATTATAACTCTTCTTTTAGGTGCTTTCTTTACAAATTGGATGAAATACAAAATTGAACAACATCACCTCAACGAACCGCCACCCTGCCACCCAATCATTAATTTATTTCTAAATGGCAAATCCTGGCCAGAATCAGTTCAAGACCGCTTTAACAAATTTTGCGCATCAAAAAATATCAACCATTTATGCATACTATCTCATCATATTATTCTTCGTTCTATTTCAGGTCGCCGTCTTCCGCTGCTCTTAGGCAAGAAAAAACATTTGCAAGGTGAGTTCATTTTTTTTTATTGATATTTTAACTTACAGCGATATTTCTATTCAGCATCTCATCTATGCGACACAATTGGCTGCTTATCAGAAGACCATCTCTGTATCGAAAAACTAGACGTCAATTATAGTCGAACCAAATGTGCAGGTATCACGTTACACATTTACGGAAATACTGCTGCTGAATTTTGTATATTTCAAGCTGATCCTTGCCACCATGGTTTACAACATCCGGATGCAAATGGTGACTTCTTCAAATACAGCTGCAGGAAGATTCAAGCAGTCTATCTCAACAAGAACAATTTACCTTAGTTTTTTTTGTTTAATGTTTCTTTCTTTTTCAATAAACTTGTTTCAATCCCTCTTTCACTCTCTTAAACTCAATCAATTACTTCTATCAGCAGTGTCAAAATTCCGCGAATTCTGAAATGCTGACGAATTCTGCCTCCCAAAAAAAAAGCCGTAACCATGCTGGCAACCGACTGAAAAGGATCCGCAGAATTCCCTGATTTCACAGAATCAAAGGAAATTACAGAATCTTACGAATTTACGGAATCCAAGGTATTCACAGAATCCGACGAATTTACAGAATTCAAGAAATTCACAGAATCCAAGGGAATGGGTGTGGGTGTGAGTCTATGTGGTGTGGCTGTGGCTGTAGATCTGCGTATACGTGAAGGGTAGACCTAAACCCACATCCACACCCCACACCCACACCCGCCTTTATTGGAAACAAAGAATTTCAATGATTTCAGAGAACATAAGGATGTCTATCTATCCACCTATTCATCGACTAAGTTAAACTCTTACTAACTATATAGAAGAAGAAACAATCCACTAAATGGCATCAGACAAACATCTCAAAGCAACAATTTGCAATTG